TTTAAAAGAGTAAATTTATGAAGGAAGACACATCCCAGCAAAAACAGTTCAATAAGAAACCCTTGGAAAACACAGCTCAACAAGGAGTGCAAGTAAAGGGACCTGGGCACACGAAAACCCATTTGTCATAAAAGTAATAATGTTACACAACCAGAAAATACAGATAACATGAAATCAAAGCAATGGTCCATATACATGATATAGCTCCAGGTACAACACAAAGGAAATCAGATTTACTTCCCATAAACTACTGTTCGCAGACCATATCCTCAACAGGCTGCAAAAGGCATGAGATAAAATAAACTGTAAATCAGAATTCAAAGGAGCAGAAAATGTTTTTAAGGTTCCAAAGGTATTACTTACCTGCAGCCATCAAACGTTGCAATGAAGCCAAGCATTGATTAGGAATCTGTAAGACAAGTTGCATTTAGTAAACAGAACTAAACAGATGATACAATCAGCATATTCTAAAAGCATTTTAGTGCTTAATATTTGACGTCTCCATTCGAAAATTAATCAAATACAAAGAGACATCAAGCCAATTAGGAAAAAGATTAGGTTTCATAATGCAATAATTGATAGCGGCGAAGGATGCTCTATTGCTTCAAAGATGACATCAAAAGAAAATAAGATTGACACAGTTGTTAATCTTATTGGTAACATGGCATTACCAATAGCAGGCACTTAAAACTTGTACAACAGCATCTGATTATTGATATGAATCATTAAAGATTCATGTTCTGAAAGGGAAAAAAACGATACAAAATGGAGCCAGGGAACAAGGATAGACAACCAAAGCACACACGAATCGTCATTTAATGCTTTTAATGCAGTCTATTATTTATGATTTTGCATGGTATATATAGCTGCAGCTTGCTGAAGGGAATATGCAAACTCACGCTAGTAGTACAGAACTTATTTTGGACAACATTCACCTTATTTTTCGGCACTATCCGACTTCGCAACTAGGCCTATACATGTTGCGATGAATAAGGTTCGGATACAAAAACTAATGTAAAATACGAGTGAAAACATATAGTATATTGTTTTAAACCAATGAGAATATAGTTATCCCCATACCATCTTGGACCCTCGATCATACATTGAGCAGACAGAATTAGAACTTCTATATTTTTTGGCAAAAAATAATGGTTTGCAAAAACAATCTTCGGATGAGATTCATTTGTTACATGACCTTTTCGTTAAGGAACTTGAGCTTGCAACTAAAACAAATGCATGAAATGGACATGACGACAAAGAAGTTAATAACGACACCTAATAGTTAGGATAAAGATCAAAGAATGACATTTTGAAATACAAAATATGTAGCATAACCAAAATTTCAGTTTTAACACATTGATGCTAAGAAGAGAAAGAAGCACACCAGTATCAATACAGTGCGGTCCAGGATGCAATAAAGTCATGCATCCCCAAGAATGTTCTCAACCTTCAAACAATACTAAATTTTCGAGTTTAAAATAAACAAACACTAGGCAATCAACTTTAACACACCATAACGAATCAAGCACATATATAAAAGCTACACAGCCTACACTTTCTACATGTAGATCAATAGCAAATCCTCGATAGATCACAAACAATGACAAGTATATAACACCCCATCAGCACATATGTTCACCATTTTCCAAAAATCTCAGCAAGATATAAAGAAACTTTCATAAGCACACCAAAAAAGCTTTAACATTTAGCATAATAAATGATACCTACCTTTTCTATCATCCGTTGCATCATGATACTCAGGCTCCTCCTCGTCCATGGCGGCAGAAGCCACAGATACCACCGGCTCGCCTCCACCTCCGGCGCTGTCCTTCTCATCCGGGTACCTCACAACAACTACAGGGCAAACACAATGCCTCACGCAGTAATCACTCACACTTCCGAGCCTCCCGTCACTACCCCTCTTCGTCGCCCCAAATCCCCTGCTCCCCATGATGACGGCGCTCAAACCTAGCCTCTCAACCTCCAAACAGAGCCTCTCCTTCATGTCGTGGTCCTTTACGATGTGGATTTTGAAGGGGATCTGTGCCTCCACAAGCGGCTGGGCCAGATCGGCCGCTTTAGTGGAGGTGAAAGCGTCGAAATCGTCCTCGAGCTTCCGCTGGGACTCCTCGCTGGAGGCGTCGATGGAATTGGAGGGGTCGACGGAACCCCAATCGGCGCCGTATAGGACGGAGGTCGGTCGAACGTGGAGGAGGATGACGGCGTCCCCGGGGCGGAGGTACTGGCGGACGGACCACTTGACGGCGAAGGCCGACTCGTCGCTGAGGTCCACGGCGATGCCGATCTTGCGCTGGGCGTTGGCGGTGGGGGTGTCGGTGGAGAGGGGGGTGGTGGGAGGGGGGAATCTCGGGGAGGAGGAGCGGACCTTGATGGCGGCGAGAGGTGGCAGGTCGGAGTCCGGCGGCTGGTGCTGCATTTCTCACGGTTAGGGTTTTTTGGGTTGGTTTGACTTGTGTTTGTCGTGTGTGTTGAGTTGACTGTGTATCTACAATGGAAACGAATGTGGGCAAATGCAATTGGCTAATAATAGTGGGAGGATTTTGGAATAAAGCCAAGAAAATTTTGCAGGCAAGTAGGCTTGGAGCTTAGAGCATCCACAATGCTTTGGGTTCAATCCAAAAAAATTGTATGTCACCTAAGAAATAGACCCAGTCTAAAAAAATGTATTCTCCAATGATGTGGCACACAGAAAAAGAGACCCGGTCTCCCCTTAAGTTTATTTTAGACCCAAGCAGAGACCTAGTCTCTTTGCATTGGATTAGATTTTGTTCATTTTACATAATTTTATCTATGTCATCCAAGACTTGAGTTTATTTGCATGCCACATAGGCAAGACTAGACCTAATGCATTGTAGATGCTCTAAATTACTGGTCCTCTTAAGTCAATTTAATCGGCACAAGCAAAGCCCAAAAGGAATCTCTAGTTGTATGGCCCCGGCCTACAATTCGAATTATGGTATTTGAGAAAATTAATCGTCAACCAATAAATTTCTTTTTAATTATATATATATTTACAAAGTCTTGTTTCATTAATAAACTAGTGCGTGGCCCGTGCGATGCACGGAAAAACAATATTAAGATTGTAATAAATAAAATATAAAATAACATTAATAATAATTTATCTATTGTTTTTAAATTAAACCGTGTTGGACACAGTCCCACCGGATGGACTGAGAACCGGTTTATAACCAGTCTAGTTTGCTTGAATAAAATATTTGCTCTCAAATCCCTCAACACCAGTCGGTTGGACTGGTAGGATCGATACGATTTTCTAAATAAATTTTGTTATATTTAAATTTATTTTAAATAAAACTACATATTTAAATAAAATAGAAATTTATAAATTATTTATCAATTTGTTTAAACACTTGAATTTATAAATTGTTTAGATATCTAAGTAACACATTTTATTTAAATTTATTATAAAAGATACTATATATAGCTTGATAGTTTAAAAACCTTATATTTACTATACATTAATAAATATTATAATAAAATATTATTTAATTCACATAAATATTAATAAAATGATATATAAATATTCATAAATCATTAAACATGTTGTCATAAAAGTATTGTTAATACGATTATTTGAAGTGTCGACTACATCACATTCACGTAATAAAATATTTTCAATATAAAATTTATATTTAGGTTCAATAATCGATTTGGTGTGGTCGAACTGATACATAACTTAATCACTTGGGACCAACCATGTTGTGTCAAGTTTTTTGACTATTTTAAATATCACATAAAAGTCATTCAATCAACTTGGGCAGTACCCTAATTCAATCATCCAATTGATCCGAAGAAATTTTTTTATTTTCTTTAAATATATTTAATTTTATGAAATAAAAATATATTATGATTCATATAATAAATGTCTACACCAAATGATAGTATATTAAGATTATAAATTATATATATCTAAAGATGAATTAATTATTTTTACTTTATGCATATTATAAAAAATAAGCATAGTAAATTTTTAAAAATTAAGATTAATTGATTGATTATGCAATTTAAAGAATATTTTTAGCGTTCATTTTTTTTTAAAAAAAGCACAAATATAAAGACCGAGATTCTAAAACTTTTGTTATATTTTGAATTAAGATTTTATAAATATAGAGACCGAGATTTTAATATTGTTGGTTGTTTCTAAGAAAAAATAAAAATAAAAACATACACACTTAATAAAGATTAGCCGAATTTTTTAAATAATAAAATGAATTAAAGCTCGAAATTTAAGGTAACATTTAATGTTGTATGATTTTTAAAGAAAAAATAAAAAAAATAATAAAACTTACTATTTATAGGCTGTATTAAATTCTGACTATTTTTTTGCTACTATTTTTGGTAAATGTTAATTCTTATTATATATATATAGATATAATAATGTTTACGTTTCACGAGTTATTGAGTTGTCTAAACTAACTTCTAAATTGCTTTATTTGTTTAATTTAAAATATAATAATGTTTACTTTTCACGAGTAATTGACTTAAGTAATTTATAGTTTTATTTTAAATAATCATATTTTTTGTAAAAGTTATCAAAAATATATTCAACATGTAAAACTATCATTGCATTTGTAATCCACATTGGGATCTCTAATATGAAATGTGTCAACTATAAAAAATAGGAAAAAAAAAAAAAAATCTATGAGTTTGAAAAATTTGTGGCCTTAGATTTAAATACCGTTGATAATTCTTTAACAGAAGTCGATTCTGAAATTAAGAGATGAAGAAATAATTAAAATCGACGCCTAAAGTTTCATTTCCATTTACTAAACAAGCGGTGAGTATTTTAATTTTAAGCATTGACGTGTTGATTTGAGTAACTTACAAGTAAAGCTCAAATTAATCATTTGCATATTTATTCGGAAAAAAATCGTTTAGCTAAGGATATTATTCAAAGGGAATTGAACTAAGCAGCTCAATTTCAAACTTGTACTCATTTAATAAACAATTCAGAAACTCCATTCGAATAAAATTGTATAACAAACCTAAAACTTTAAATTAATTTTTTGTGGATACAAAATATTCGTTTATGAACATGTTTCTCTATGATATTTCATCTATGACTTATAAATAAAAAAAAAAAGTTTCTTTCAAACAAACTAAAACTTATTTAATAAACAAATGAGTCGAGTTTGATCATTCACAAGTAAAAATGAACTGTATTCACAAACAATTTAATTCGAAAGACACTTCATCACGTACTGAGATGAGTTTGAACTCTTACTAGCAAAATCAAGTTGCATTCATAAATAAGAAATTCCAATCAACATTTAACCGTTATTATAAAATTAGTAACTAAAGTGGACGTGCCGGAGTGGTTATCGGGCATGACTAGAAATCATGTGGGCTCTGCCCGCGCAGGTTCGAATCCTGCCGTCCACGACTTTTTTTAAGAAAACCCCTTTTTATTATTCTTTTGGCCTTGCCTTTGTGGGTTCCAAAGCTTTTTTTTTTTTGGTGTGCCAATATGTTGTTTGTTATTGCTCATATTTCAAAAAATTTGATTTCTTCAAATCTTTGCTTCACATACGGTTCTGAGTGCAAATTTTACCAGGTAAATAGGTTATTTCTTCAAATTTTTGCTTCATAAAAAATTTGATTTCTTTATATTTTGAAGAATATTTTATAAATATAGGGAAAATGAAGATTTTTTTTTCTTTAATACAGTTACTAGAAAATGGGTCCAATATTATATTTTTTTCTCACAGCTTTATCGTTTTTACTGAGAGTACTCTGCACAAATTTACACTCATCACAGGAAAAATTGTACTTGCTGCAGCACCTTAGCTGATATGGCTTGCTCTTAGCCTGTACCCACTCTAACTACTTGCTACTCTTTTCTCTTTTCATATTCAGTCTTTTTTAATTTTTTAACTCTCATTCCCTTTTTCTTAAATAAATTTAAATATAATCATTAATGAATATATCAATTCGAAACAGAAAGTCCTCAGACACATTCCTTGTGTTTCAGCACTTACAAGGCAGAAATAAACTGTAGAGGGCAATGTCTGTCTTAACTTGGTTAGGACAACAGAATTTATGGGGATTTAATATCTTTATTTTCCGATTTTCAATTTTTTATTTTTTTTCATATCAAGATACTTATGCATAATTATATTTCCCAAAAGGTAAAACTAACGATTAAACGTGCATATACTTTTCTAAATTGAAGTGTTATACTCTAAAAAAAATACATAAACAAAAGTACGACATTTCATAACATATGTATGAATTTTTGTTACAAATGTACAGGTCGACCGATTTAACGGTTAGCTGATTGCCACTTATTAGTTTAATTGTCAGCAGATTCTTAAGTCATCTCTAATTTACAGCTATAACTTACATCTCCTTTTCTTTTTTCTTTTTTTTTTCTTGGTTCTGAAAATTCCTGATTTTTTATTAACACACATTTTTATCAAAACTACAATACTGTTAAAGCTTAATCTGCAACAAAATAAGGATAAAAAAAATAAAGATTAAAAAACTTCAAAAACACATCTACTCATCATTCATCAAATAACCAATGCATAAGCTAGCCCTTCACACAAACCTAATAACCAATTTGCTCACCAGTGCTTACATATATATATATATATAGGACCCATTGTATATCTACCAGAAATTCACCCTTTCCCAAGTGTAACAAGAAAATCCAGATGAAAATCCATCACCAAGATCACAACACAACTAGACAAGCCAATTTCAAAGAGAGAGA